GAGAACAGGGGGAGAGAGCTGGGGACAGGGGAGAGAGCTGGAGACAGAGGAGAGCTGGGGACAGGGTAAGAGAGCTGGGGACAGGGTGAGAGAACTGGGGACAGGGGGAGAGAGCTGGGGACAGGGGGAGGGAGCTGAGGAAAAGGTGAGGGAGCTAAGGAAAAGGTGAGGATGTTTTGTCAGCATGTCACTTTTGTGTGTGTGTGTGTGTGTGTGTGTGTGTATGTGTGTGTGTGTGTGTGTGTGTTGACCACAGATGCCCAAAGAGGGAAACTTAGCACCTAGAACTGGAGTCTCAGAAGGTTGTAAGCCACCAAGTGAGTGCTGGGAATCAAATCAGGGTCCTCTGCAAGAGTAGCCAGGGCTCCGGGTAGTGGTGTCCCAGGCCTTTAATCCCAGCACATGGGAGGCAGAGACAGGTGAATCTCAGTGAGTACCAGGCCAGCCTGTGTAAAAAGTGAGTCCTGTACAGGACAGTCAGCAATGCTACACAGAGAAATCCTGTTGGGCATTGGGGAGGGGGGTAGCCAGGGCTTTTAACTGTTGAACCATCTCTCCACTCCCTGGCTTTGGAGTTTTTAACTGTGATCAGTGATATGCAGTGTTTTCTCTCAACCCTGGGTGAGCCGGCCACAGTTCCCATCAACTACACAATCACGATGCGGCATCAGTGTGTCCTACCATCGGGTACGTCTTCCACCTCCAATGAGGTTATGGGGCATTGGTTGCCCCATTCTAAGACAAGACACATCTGCAATTCATTGGCTGAGCTGGATAGACAGGCTTTACTCACCTTGCAAAGGGAGAAGCCTGCAGAAATCCTGCTGGGAGGGAGCAGACCTCATAGCCCATGCTCTCACATGCTCTGTCCCTAGGGCTGAGTAGGCCCTAGAGCATTGGGGACAAATGCCAGGAAGCCACCTCTGTGTGCTGCCCTGGGTAGGCAGCCTTGGTCATCTGTGCTAACTCCTCCTGCAGGGGACACAGTTCTCTCACTGCTCTACTCCATCCTTCATGGCCCTGGCCAGTTCCAGGACCTGCTTTGTTCCAACCTGAGAAGTTTCTAGATACCAATGGAGCTTTTAAGAGGAGCCTGGCCTTCCCGTCCTTCTCTGGGTCGTGTCCATGCTGTGTGTCTCTGGGGAGAATGCCAACCCTCTCTGTTCTTCCTCAACATAAGCCAGTTCCTATCTTCTGACAGATGGTACAGCTGGACTCAGGAGAATAGAGGAAAGGGAAATCCAGATCTGTTCCAGTCACACTTGTTCCTGAGCATGCCCAGTTCATTCAGGAGCACTCTAGGCAATGAAAACACCCAAAGGTGTCGGTGAGAACAGTATCCATTTGCTTTTTTAAAAAATCTAAATGCAAGCATGTTCTGAACAATCTAAATGAAAGCCCATCTAATCCAAAACAGTTTTTTTTGTAAGCACTTTTTGTTATAGTTATGTAAAACTTCTACAGCAATGTAAACATTGGGAAATAGTTTAATCTTAATGACTGTGAAATGCAAACACTTGCTTAAAAAGAAAAAAAAAGAGAAGAAATGAGGGACTGCAGAAATGGTTTAGTGGTTAAGAACACTGGCTTCTTTCTGAGAACCGGGTTTGATTGTCACCCCCATATAATAGTTAAAAATTATCTGTAATGCTGCTCGCGAAACAACCCGCAGCAGCTCAAGAACCAAAGAGGAGGTGTGGAGTCAGCGATGGATCACACAACAGACTTTTTCTAGAGGGAGTAAAACGTAATTCTCTGGGGTATGTGAAAAAGGAAAATGCACACATACATACATACACACACATATGCACATAAACACACACATACGCACACACACATACACACACAGGCACACACATACACACACGCACACACACACACACGCACACACATGCACACACACACACACATCTCCAGCACGTCAGGGTCTCTCATGTCTTTTACTCCTACAGCTTATACACCCCAGAAGCATCTTTCAAGCAGTATAAAAATCACAATGTGGATACTTTCCATTTTTCAGGTAAAGGACTGCAATGAGTACAGGTAAAAATCAGAGCGGTTCTCATTTCTCTTACAGGATTAAAACTTTCACGGATTACATGTGAAAAACAAGCAGAATGGTGGTGGTGCACACCTTTAATCCCAGCACACGAGAGGCAAAGGCAGGTGGATCTGTGAGTTTGAGTCCAGCCTGGTCTACAGAGTGAGTTCCAGGACAGTCAAGGCTACACAGAGAACCCCTGTCACAGAAAATAAAAGAAAAGGAAAGAAAAAAAAAATGATTTCCAAAGATCTACATACATTCCTATCTAAGCAACTTGTTATAGATTAACAGAGTTTAAGCAAGCAAGGAATTTTTCTCAGCCAGTTCTTTTACTGGTAGTCTGAATTTTAGGGATATAAAGAAAGGATCGATCGCTTTATTATTTATCTCAAAAGGTAATTTTTTAAAAACCTTAAAAGAAACACAAATCTATACTGTTATATAAGAATATAGTCACTTCTATTTTAAATCCTGAGGGTGCATACCCACCCATGAAGAGTTTTTTATTAAATCATATTAGAAATCTGATTTAATAACAGAATTTAATTATTAAATTAATTATTAAATTAAATTTTAATTTAATGACAAAAATGGGTACAAGGAATTAATCATCACCTTTGATCATGAACCCATCCTAACAAGAAAGGCACATGACCAGCAATAGCCAAGCTGCCACTGTTTTTGTTCCCTGGCCTCAGTGAGTCTCTTGTTTAACTAACAAAAGTGTGCATTTCTAAACTTGAAATTGTTCCCAAGGTTTTCTACCTCAAAGCCATTAACAAAAACATCTCAGCCTAATCTTACTAACAATTTACATCCCTAAGTTCTTCCTAAGGTGGTGGTTGATTTTTTTCATCTGTTGCAATAGCAATGCTTTGAAAAAAAGGCAATCACTATTAGTGCAAGTGCCAGTAACATTGCCCAATGAGGGGCTAGAAACACCCTATGAGCTTTCATACAACTCATAGTTTATGAGGGACATGGCTGTTGGCATACACCCAAAGTGGGCCAGTATCTTAAAGGCTGTTGGCTAAAGGAGTCCCCACAGCACATGGTGACCAACCGTGAGGGCAACAAACAGAGCTATGCTCAATAGCAGTTTGAGGTCCTCAGGACACACAGTCCTCAGACTCTGTCTCTCCAAGGCTCACCCAGCCTGTTTACGCTGACCCCCAGATTGCAGTCCAGGCATTCCAGAGCTGCTTGCTGTTTCTCTCCCATGGCTCCCTGACACTGCAACCCCAGTTTCAAGAGATCTGACACTCTCTTCTGACCTCCAAAAGGACAGGAACATAGTACAGGTAAAAAGAACACAACATAAATGCAGGTAAACACTCAAATGCATAAAATATTTTCTCAAAGTCAAGAGCCGGGAGTTATGGTACACACCTGTAGTCACAGCCCTTGAGAGACTAAAGAATCGCTGCAAGTTTATGACCAATCTGGGCTACAAAACAAAAACCTGTCTCAAAATCACAAATCAAAAACAAAAGCACAGAGAAGGGGATGATGTAGCTCTGAAGTGGAGCCCCTGCCTAGAATCCCCTAGTGAGGGGCTGGGGTGTGGCTCAGTGGTAGAGCCCCTGCCTAGAATTCCTCAGTGAGGGGCTGGGGTGTGGCTCAGGGGTAGAGCCCCTGCCTAGGATGTGTGAAGCTGTGGGTTCAGTCCTCACTACTGATTTTTTAAGAAGAATGAGAATACAAAATGAAAGCACAGGCTCTCTCCTGAGGGTAAGATCTACAACCTAGAGGCAAATATGATTTAGGATTTCATTTGTGTCCTTCTTAACCCTGTCTAAGTAAATATACACATGAATGTTTACACGTGTAGGGTACATGGGTCTGTACATATGAACATGATATTGAGGCCACGGGTTGTTGACCTAAGGTGTCTTCCTCAACTACTTCTCACCTCATACCTGGTGCCACACTTGTCACAACGCAGAGCCATTACCAGTTGCTAACACCATGCTCCTGGACTCCCCAACCATAATCCAATAACTTCTGGTACGTTATCCAGTCTGTGACAGCCTGTTATGGCAACATGAAACAAACTAAGTCTAATTTTTTTAAAGCAGGGTCTCACTATGTAGCCCAGACTTGCCTCCTATTCATGAGCCTGTTGCCTCAGCCTCCAAGATGCTGGGATTATAAACACACACACTACCATGCCCTGCTTAAGCCAGCCTCAAACTAAAGCATCCATCCCACACTGGATCAAAAAAGCCACCTCTGCTCTGTTCCCAACCCCACATTCATATCATTGTCTTATCTAGAGTTGATCAGATCTTCCTCCACCCTGACCTGTTTCTGTGTCCCTCCATCTGTGAGCTCCATCTCTGAGCTCTGTCTCTTCCACCATCTCTATTCCTCAACTGTCCCTGCCTCTGTCTCTAATATATATTCATATATATGTATTCTGAGATACACACACACATACATACATACACACACATATATATATACATATCCTGGGTAGGCATGAACATACAGCCATTCACCCTAGATAGATAGGCCCACCAGCAACAGACCAAAGGAACACCTCCACCTAGTTTAGCTTGGTGAACCAATGAGTTTACCGGGGTGACTTACAGGCAGATAGATGAGTTACTGACAGCAGCATGGATAACAACTGCAGCACTAAGGAGTCAACCCCAGCATTGACTGGGGGAAGCCACACCACTGGAGCTCTACACGGGTCGCAGGCAGCTCCACAAAGAGTATCCTCCTGCAGCAACCCTGGAGCTCTACACAGGCTGCAGGCAGCTCCATGAAGAGTCCCCTCTGGCAGCAACTGTTTGCTGCTTCTATAACTTTGGCTAGGAGCTTTGTCACTCTGACAACTTTTGGGGCATCTTGGGCGTAGTAAGTTTCAGTAGCTTTGGGCATCTTCATCCTATAAACCTTCCTTCCAGGAGTGTTTGCATTCAGAGGCAAAAGCTATTCAGCAAGCTTCCCCTTTTTCTGTGACCCCCTCCTTCCCAACTGCCCCTCAGTCTCCTCGGATCCCTACTTTCATGATCAGGACTCCCAGCTTCTTCTCCAGCACAATGTCTGCCTGCACGCCCACCATGTCACACCGTGATAATGGATTAAACCTCTAAAAATGTAAGCCACCCCAATTAAACATTTTCCTTTATAAGAGTCGCTGTGGCCATGGGTGTCTCTTCATAGCAACAGAAACTCTACAAGCCATCTATCATTGAAGTTCATTCTGTAGGTCAGGGAGACCCAAGCCCACCTCCCATGCTAACGTCAACCACCATCTGGCTATGACCCACTGTCCTTCTGTGACCCGGCTGTAGCACAAAGGCTGCAAAGGAGCTGCATCCTGTTTTCATAGGTGACATCTGGGGACAGGTTCTTTCCTTCCACACCCACTGTCTATGACAGAATACGACCCCAGCAGAGCCACACAAGGCACCAGCCATTTGTCTTTTTACATAGACAAGCGATCTCCTGCTGGGAACAGATCACTGGAAAAAGAACCAAGATGACCGAGTGCTAGGCACAGCTGTCTGAATGAGATCAACTCCATACAGAGGGAACAAGAGATGCAAAAACCCAGCCCCACTGATTGAGTTCGGAGAGAGCCAGAGGGTCAGGGTTGCTGGCACAAAGTGAATGTGCCTGGACACCAGGACAAAGGAGAATGGGTTGGTCGTAGAGACTGGAGCATGGAAAATTATGAGAAGAGATTTGACTGAATATGGGTTTTGGTTTAGGGTGCTAGGCATTGAACCAAGGGCCTATTGAAGTTCAGTAGGTACCACTGAGATACACGCCCATACCTGATTTGTGTTTGTTCTGGTTGGAGTTTTTCCTTTTGGGGAGGGGGGTCAACACACAGCTGCTGAGGTAGCCTCTCATACAATCTAGTCTTATGCTCAAACTCAGTCTGTGACAGAGGATGACCTTGGACTCCTGATCACACTTCCTCCACTTCCCAAGCTCTAGAACCAAAGGCAGAAGCCACCACATCTAGTTCACACCATGCTGGAGATGAAACCTGGGCTTTAGGCTTCCTGGACAAGCGCTGCTGAAAACTGAGTTACATCCCTAGTGCAGTTACTTTGTTTCTATTTGAGAATGAGTCCTGCTCTATAGCCCAGGCTGGTCCGAGCAACAGCACCAACACTTATTTTTTTTTCTTTCTTTTTTTTTTTAGCTTTGGTTTTTCAAGACTTTTCATCTGTGTAACAGTCCTAGCTGTCCTGGAACTCACTTTGTAGGCCAGGTTGGCCTCAAACTCAG